CAACGCTAAGACGTAGAATTATAACTCTATCGCCGCGTATATTCTAGCCCGCAACAATAATGAAGCATCTTATTTGTTCACTAAAATTGATGGGTTAATATTATCAAATTGCTATAAAAACCATAAGCTCAAGGTAAGGATGTAAGCGAATTTGTAAAAAAAAATAATTAGATATATGATTAAAATAGATTATATCATAATTTAATTTTTAAAATAATTAAAATATAATTTTAAAGTTTTTAACAGTGATATATTCTTGTTTTTCTTATGATAAATAATTTGTTAAAATTTGATAAAATATTTATTTGATTATGATTTAATTATTTTATGTTATTATACCTTTTTTTTTATGTTTTGTGAACTGTAAATGTTATTTATTTAGATATGTTGATAATATTGAGCAAATAATTAAATGGATGGATTAAAAGTTTAATGCTATGGGTCCTCATGCCATACTTGCCCATTAGCTTCGGCCTGAAGGTTAACAAGCGAGTATTTTATTGATATAAAGACATGAAAGAAACATTAAATTAATCAATTGAGCTTGCTTGCAGATTTTCCATGCAGCTATTGTTAGCCTTTACAAATAAGTAGTTGGTTTCTAAATACTTTGTCTTGTACTTTTGTGGGCTTTGTAAGTGCTTGTAAGCTCGTTGTGCGATCTTTTTTTATCAATGTCTCATTTGAAGTTCTAAAAATATAATGTTGAGAAAATATGAAGATTCAGGTAGATTAGGATAAGATTATAGAGATTTTTTGCATTATAATATAATATCTTACATAGTAAATCCAAACCGATTCTAATTTCCACCATATTCAAGTGGTTCAAATCTTCATATTCGGCTGTAATCATCTACCTTTCATATTTACTTGCATGCATGTCTCAAATCTTTTATTTCTTTGGAAATTATATTAACTCAATTTAATAAAACAATTCATTTTAAAAAAAAAATTATATGTAATGCTTATAATTATTTATTTGATAGGAAATTATTATTATTTTTAAATGTAGTGTTTTATTTTCTTTTGATATTTAATTAATGTCTTTTATTACAATTTAAAATAGCCTACTTCAATAAGAATCATTTTATCGAAATAATTTTCTACTAGAGATTATATTTTTTTGTGATTAACGTTCTAAATTGTTTATCCTATTATTTTTCAAATTGTAAATTATATTTTATCAAATATTATTTTATATGAATAGTTCTAACTTTTCATTAATACGATAATTATTACAAATACTTTTACTAATAAATTTATTCATTCATTCATATGATCATTTTAATGCTTATTTTTATTTTTAATCTTCTATTAACGTGCACTTAATGAATATACAATTATTTGATATTTAACTACTGTCTATTATTACAATTTAAAATAGCCTACTTCAATAAGAATCATTTTATCGAAATAATTTTCTACCAGATATTACGTTTTTGGTGACTAACGTTCTAAATTGTTTATCCTATTATTTTTCAAATTGTAAATTATATTTTATCAAATATTATTTTATATGAATAGTTCTAACTTTTCATTAATACGATAATTATTACAAATACTTTTACTAATAAATTTATTCATTCATTCATATGATCATTTTAATGCTTATTTTTATTTTTAATCTTCTATTAACGTGCACTTAATGAATATACAATTATTTTTATGCAGTAGCATTTTTCTTGATTTCATGTAACATAAGTGCATTATTCAGGTGTTCAAAAGAAGTATGGGATGAAGCATTTTATTTGTTAACCTTTATTTGCCCCTTAAAAAGGATCACAAGAATGCCGATTATTATGTTTTCACTTTCTTTCATCATCTATGTTAATGTGATTATAACTGAGCTTGTTTCTTATTTTGTCTTGATGCCTATGACATATCCTAATTAGTAAGGCTAGAAAGGAGTTGTGTTAATAGTAAATAGTACAATCTTTAAAAGCTTAAAAAATAGGTTGTGTAATTGCGAAAATATTTTAGGAACGCTTTCTTCATAGTGAAAGAATTTGTTCTCTTTAAGGATGTAGCTGGAGCTAGAAATATCGAATGAAGTATGTATTCATATTTTCAATATAAGGCACATTGGGG